ATCGCTTGTGTAAGACGTTTGTTTACAATACTTAATATTCGTCATACGAACATTGTACCCTGGTTTCACATTGTTCAATTACCATTGCCTTTTATCCCCCTCCTTCCGCTATTCATCTACACATTTGTAAATTGCCTTTCAATAAACATAATGTCATTATAGATTCCTTACGAAAGTTTCCGTCATTCTCAGAGTTGCACCGAATTAATGTATTACATGTACTCTCGAAACCGTTTTGCATGGATAAAAATAACGTTGGGGAGTATTAATATCAGGGATGAGTAAATTTTAGAATTCTATAATTAAAAGTTATTTGTGAATCAAACAGAGCGACACTTTCGGTGTATATCAGTTTTATCGGGTCTCGTGAACTTTTATGCATTAAACAAATGCTTATATTGTTTGTTATGCGTTCTGCGTGTTATGCATCGAAAGCGCCCTTTTATTTCATTGGCTTATGAAAATGGACCGCTTAACGATTGATGTACGTTTTACGGCGTTCGTTTTTTGAATATTCCAGTTAGAGAAACAGAGAAAGAAACAATGTCCACTACCGCGGCGCTGTTCAAAGTTTTGGGATGATGCGACAATATGCAAGCGGGCAAATGATGATGCATATCCATCAAATTGGCAAACTCGATTAATATTGGTTATAAAAATAACATATTTTAAATTTAGAAACCTTGAGTGAAATAAATTTTTTTGGGCGTCTGCAGTTACTTAAAGCGTTTGTTGGCGAACAAGGCACAGGCACAATCGATTAGATTGTGATACTCATTTTTACAAACTTTTAACGATAGGCAAGTTCTAATTAACCCTGAATCGGTGTAATCAATTAGCCTTGAACTAATATAACTTTGGTAATGACTGTAGTGGGGGTTATGTGCGTTTTCTCTACTTTGATTACGTTATTTATTGTCTGAACGGATTTGGACAATTAACAATGTAAACTCTTGGTACCCGCAGCGACGAACTTGTTATCAGATTGTTGTGTAGCACGCAAAAAATATTTATATTCGATTTTACTTATACCATCGCCCATTATGCGACCAATTATGGATGTGCTGGAGAACGTATTCCGGATAGATGGATAAAAAAGTTAGTATACCGGAATCAACTCCGAGTAATTGACTATATGTGGATATATATTTGGCTTTTGTGTGACTGTCAATAAGTAAAAGTTTTTTTTTTGCTTGCATACGTAGCCGTCACATTATAATTTGCACGACAAACAAAAAAACAAAAATGTGCCCAAGTTAAATTTAAAATATATACAACTGGGATCGAAAGATACGGACGGGAACCGTGAGAACCTAGTCGCGGGTTGTCACATGCTTTTATGATGTGATTATCTATCGACGATGAGGATATTGCCCCAAATTTTGAAAAAAATGTGGCTTAATCGGAGCGAGTCATCCGCGACAATGATATCTGACAATGGAACAAAGCGTCAATGCATTTACTTGAATGACAGTTATCAACGCATCCCATTTGCTCATACAGAAAACAATCGTAGCATTCACGCACATTATTGTCTCTAACCGAAAATATACATTTTATTTATACCGAATTACATTTACATTTACAATAGCTGTCGTTAAAAATTTCCCCTACAAAGTCATATACTTCCCAATATATGGGCACCACAAAAAAGAAGAGGATTTACAAGAACAACAAGGAAAATATCAACAAGGTATAATTTGAAACAAGGAAAATAATACATAGGGTCTAGAGAATTTACACATACTTGAACAACCATGGTAAAAGTACCAAAGCAGTTTAACAGAAAAGCTTAGTAAAAAATAGTCATCATGACCGCTTATAGTTCAAAAGGTTTGAGGAAACATTACATTTTTGAAAACTCTATCCACGTACTATATATATATATATAAATGCTACGTAAAGTAAAATAAAAAACTTTACGTAAATTCGAAACATTTTTGCCTAATCCATATGTCAAGTATACATTGGCGAAACTTTTTTCTTTCAATTGGTGCTCTTGAGCGTCGTTGTTTCTTGCGCGAAATTTGATTCAACAGTTGTATTACTTAAACATGCAGAGGTTGGGTTATCGTTGTCATTAGTGTCACAACGTTTCGAGTCTTTCCGCGTGCGTTCTGTATATGCATCGTTGTCCATGAAACATCCGGAATCGTGACGATACTGATCGTTCTGAATTTGCCTCGGAAGCGAAGGTGTTGAATTGCCCAAACCGTCACTGATATCGACAGGTTCGGTTGTGATAACGTCGCTAATACATATTTTAACCCTCTTTTGTATGTTTTTTTCATCAGCGTGGTCAGCATCTTCCTCTCGAGAACGCTTTCCATCACTTTCCACGGGGCTGGCCGGTAATGAGGCGGTTGTCGGACTGGGTTGGGGAGTCAGCAGTCCGTTTTTTTCCTCCGGTTCAAGCTTGAGACAAATCGTGTCTGGGGCCTTCGAAACCGGCTCGGTCATCGCTGGAGGCTTTTTAACTGCGTCTGACATCTTATTGGTACCGGCTTGAATTAGTTTAGTCGTCAAATCCAATAAATGTCTAAGTTCTGTGAGAGTACACGCCGCAAAGTCATTCTTGTTGACCGTTTTGAGTTCGACGGGCGAGCCCGACTAAAAGATGTGACACAAAAAGTTAAGATATCAATTAAAACACCCGACTGACACCCAGATAGCTATGATCTTACCACTGTGAGCTCCTCAATTGCTCCCAGTCTTTTCACAAACATTTTTAAATAATTTGCCGATTCTTTGCATTTAGTACAATTTTTGGCGGGTGGTTTCTCGCTCGGCTTAAGTTCCCGATTTGCGAGCATTGGTTTGGTTTTTGCGCGTGAACCAGAGGTGCGCTGTTGCTTATGAGTTTGTGATGGAGGCCGCATGTTTGTTGCTTTGTCTTCAATGAGTGAGACGTGCGTTTTGATCTTATTTAAATATATTATCAATGTCGCACAAATCCGGGCTCATCCTCCGCTGTTTGTTTCTCAACTTTTTACAGGCAGCCTTATGATCAGCATATTTGTAAATAGTTAGACAAAGGATAAAAGTTATACGGGGGCAATATTGCAAAGTATTAGAGATGGACTTATACGAACAATATTTCTCTATGATACCGTACCAATAACAACAATGTCAGCAGACATTTAGAGATAATGCAATGCAGGTCTCATATTAATATTATTACTAATCTGATTTACCGTTTATCGACAAAATCATTGTTTCTTAAGATATTGTACTCTGTTGATCATATTTTAACAACATGCGTTTTATACCGGCGACTTTCCATAAAAGCTCTGCTATTAAGTGTGTTTCAAAAAGTTTTCATCGAGAAACAACCAAAGTACACGCGATCTTGGATATTCGTTCCAGGAATGGTTCAACACACGTAGACGTACTAAATTGGTTGCTGGTATGGTATTGCGTCAGTATTTCCGTCTCTTGGCCTTAGTATTGGACCGTTTAATAAACATTTACTAGTTAATCAAAGGAACGCTTATGCTGTATAGAGATCCCAATTATCTACATAGACATGGTTTTCAGAATGCTTAACTCCTTGAACTAGCACTATGTACCATGTGAAAAGATACAATATACTCTTATATATCAAGATTTGACGAGTTTGCAAACACGATAGTTATTTGTGCAAATTCAAGGCGTTGAGGTTGCGTTGGTTGTTGGATGTGGGTAGCCAGCTTTAATCGGACTATACCATACCATTCGTTACAGTCGTTGTATATATGAAAAAAAAACTTTATCTTTATCGCAATGAAAGCAAAAGAAGCGTAACAAACGACATGGCATTCATCTCTTATAATGTTCACTTGTGGCGTGTGTGTATCTTTTTAAAGCTTTATCCAGTCAGTTGGTACGTACATATATAGATTTTACTGAAACAAAAAGTTATCAAGTACATGTCGTAATTTTGCAGTCAATAGGTCAATAAACAACTCGGTGAACAAACATAGATGATCATTCAACTATGATAATAATACAAATTTTCATCAACATCTGTAATAATATTATACATCTGTAGAATGATAAACACTTATCTATTATGTATATGCATGCAGTCAAACCAAAATAAACCCATCAAAGAATTATCATTCGTTAACGATATCGCGTAAGCCATGTTCACATGACACTACAGTAAAAATTCAAAAATGTCAAAGGCGCGATATTTTACGTTTGACTTCTATTTCGGCAATCGCGCGATCAAGTCTACTTCCCGTATTAGCATTGACAATGCAGGGGTTGCGTTCAAACATTCCATTGCAGATTTCCATGAAAAAAAAAATACGTACACTGTGATGGGGGTTTTATTAATAAAGCAGGTAACATAAACAATAAGAGCATTCCTTAATTGAGCGCAGAATGTCCAAATTTGAGTAGACATAGTAAATCAGTCATATCTTTGTATAAAAAAAGAGAACCATACATCATTGACATTTCACACACATCATTTTTTGATATTGCCATTCAATAATGTATTAGTTCCTTGTTTACCCACTAACGTATTCGGTGCTGTCCATCATTCGATCCGAGCTTTGTCTAGCGTTCTTTTATTGTATGGCACCGAATGTTTCCTTATAGGTATTGTTCCACAATAGTATGTTGTACGACATTGGCATGAAGGCGGAGGGGAGGCGGAGTTGGCGGAGGAGCGGCGGGAAGTCGGAGGCGGCGGTAAAAGTAACTATCGATTGTTTACTGTTATATAGTAAAGAATGCATATGAACATAACGGTAATAGCATGTGAACATGCGGACGAACCTTTTGTTATCACACTCTCGGCAAGAGTTTCTCATTAAGGATAGTAATAGCAAGTTGTTTGGACACGGAACGCTTATTCCGTGTGTGATCGAAGTAGTATAATTTGGTATTTCATTCCATACTTGATAAAAAAGTCCAGACTGTAAGTGACATGAAATATACAAACAGCAGTGCAGTATTGACAATGATATCTGTTACGCAAGTCCGGGAGGTGTAAAACAAAGAGCACGATTGTCCTTTTTGGAGTAATACACAATTATAGCTTGTCGTTTATAGTTATATTAATTGAGTGTCCTGGTTTACCAAATTTTTATGTAATATTGATATACATTTGCAAACATCAATCAAATCGTCTTGAATTAGAACCGCAGTTGTGTTTGCTTCTCAGAACTTCCGAATCATGACCAAATGTGAATAAGGTTTTGAGGCAGTCTTATGCCAAAAAGAGTAAAAGCAATAGCAATGACTCACCCAATCGATGTCAGCTGATCAATTAGAATAGAGCGCGTTAATGAAGACGTATATAGTATTATATTTGGCGAGCGTGAACAAACAACGACTGTTTGTTGCAAATGCAATGTAAATTAAATCACAGTTCTCATTTAGTGTACGCAGTAGCGGTAAGATCAAAAGTGGTCGATCACGCTAACTTGTATGAGTTAACAAGGTCGGTTTTAATTAGTTTTGTAACTTACAAGCCGAAACTTTTGTTGGATGACTATACCCTTTGATATTGTCTTGCTAGGAAGACAATAACTACTGTTTCCCAATCATCGTCCCGATAATCAACAAGGAAATTCCGTTATCTTCAATAAACTAACATTATATGGTTTACAGTATTGATGCATTGTATAAACGACTAGGTTGAATTATGTCTTGACATGCTCCCAACGTGTGCTCTATTGAAGAACATGTTTATTTGTGCATTAGCATAGGCATTTTCTATATCGAACCAAATTGCTTGCTTCATCTTTACTGATCCCTCTCAATGAGTTCATTTCGGTATTCGTAGCGCAATGATAATTTCCAGACCAACAATCTATTGAATTAATCCCGAGTTAATTATTTATATTTTCGATACAATAGGTAAGCTCAAGGCCCATAAATAAACAAATGTCCTCTGGTCAAATTTGCCTTACCACTGCTTCAATCAGTTTCTCAACAAGTTTTATTCAGCACAGGTTCTATGAAAGAAAAGCAAATTCTAATCATTTCCAAGATGTGTTATTTACCATGCTCCAAGTAGAAAAGCGCGTGTGAAAGCAAAACTCGGTTGTGTCTTCGCCCAGTTGTTATAGTGACTAAAACAAAATGCTGTTATAATAATTTTTTTTCTTACAGATTATTAGCCTATTCGCCAACAAAACTGCCATGTATACAAAATGGCCATTGCTGTGTATTCCAATCTCTCGTTAGAAGCCATGTTTTCAATCATTCGCCTAAGAGCTATAAAATTTTAGTAACCGTTCTTCCCACAACTAACCAAATAGCCATCGTTTTACTATTCAATGACAGTGACTCATCTATCTGTTATCTGTTATTACATATAATTTAGGAATAGGTACAGTCTTATAGCTAGTATTCTCCTAGGAGTGCTTTATTGTACCGTTTCATTAAAATTTTAACTCTGATACTTTGACGTAATTCCAAACCCCCTGCAAATTAAGGGGTAATTTAACAATAAAATTGTATTATCATTAGTCAGGGTCGCGTTATTCGAAAATTTATACATTAGCAAATAAACTTCGAATACCCATTTACAAAAGCTTTCCAACACCAATTGATAGCCTACAAACAGAATGGCTCTCGATAACGCCCTTGCATTTAATGGGCATAGCTGCTTTATTTTACTGGTATAAACTTTGACGATTCGTCATTTTTGCAGCTCGAGGGAGAAGTAAAAGAACAAAAATGATACAGCTATTCTCCAGAAACCCTGTCCCGCCATCCAACTATAAAAGTTACTCGGAGGGGTTGTTCAATATTCACAATTAATTAACACAGCCATATTGATTTTCTCAATTAAATGTTTGACTACAATAAAATATACCAAATTTAAAATTATACTTATTTATTTGCCCACAAGTCCATTAATTATGCATTACCTGGCCTGGTTATGAATGAGTTACAACACCATTTTCTATTTACAACGTTCTGGCTGAAAATCTGAAACATTTCAGTCGCATCATTAATTGTGGCTAACCGACAAACAATTACTTATTAAATTGTTTCCCACTTTAAGATTATCGAAATAAACACAGATATTAAGATGTACACATATCGCTAGCATATTTGTTTAATTACAATTCATCAAGCAGTGCATGTCTGTTGGTATCAAAAACGACAGACCAAAATTAAGTAAACATGCGTGTGTTACCGAGGCAAGGTAGTACACAGAATAATCAGTAGTTTCTAAAGAAATTTCTTAATCGTTGGGGAACTTCATTTGAAGCAAGGCACAATAGTTACACGGGAAAAGTAGCGAATAGCTATTTGCTAATGCAATATTGCAATGAGGAAGAACGATTATGATTACGAGGACGAACGAATGTCATTACGTTGAATAATTAGTTATGTATTCTCTATGCACTCCTAGTTTATCCATACAATCACACAAGCTTCACCTTATAGCAATGGGCGTAAATCAAGAAACTTCTCATTGGTCTCTACATGAAACATATTTGGATTCGAGAATCAACACTTGCTAGTAGTCGAACTTGTTTCCATGATGACGCATACAAATTACCCCGATTTTATGTGGCGGTTGTATAAATTTCTACTTTATCATTGACATTAACATGAATGAATACGCTACTGGCACTGATCCTGGGAGTGCGGTAGTATCGGGTCGACTTGCCATCCCATCTAGACAAAAATAAAGTTATTCAGATTATCGAGGCGCTTCTAATTATTTATTTATCATCATCTGATCGATCACGCTGCATACCATTACCAATCATTGCTCCACAAGCAGCGTGAACCCTTCAATTGCGTTGCGACATTACTCTCCAGGTAAGCATTGTAAGTATTGACTAAATGGATCGGTTGTGGGTGTTGCAATATAGTTTGAATATAAAAATTGAAGAATCCAAAAAAGGTGTTCTATAGAACA